GCAGTTCTTTTCCATCCAACACGGTTTATAACAGAGTTCAGTCTTTCTAGTACTTTTCCCATCCATCTGCACCAGAAAATTAAAGTGCATCATGTGATTCATGATACTAATGCTACTAGGCTTTTCAAGATGTAAGGATTTAAAACAGAGGAATCACATTTTATGCCATACTTCCTTTCTTTCACCCTTATTATCTTTGTCTTTTATGTAGTGTTTATTCCCTGACTCAGTCAGGGATTCCACTTAGTCATCTTAATAGAAATACGACTGTGGAGGCTCAGCAAATAGGGAATATTGTTTTTAGTGCTGTTGTTTCCATGACATAAACTGCACAGACTTTAAGTCCACAGTTCAATGAATTTTGATAAACATAGTTATTTAAACCATTCCAATGAACAGTATTTTTGTCATCCTAAGAAATGATGTTATAACCTTTTCTTGTCATATCAACCCCTTCCCCAGGTAACCTCTGTTCTATTTCCCTCATCACAGTTTAGTTTCTAGAACTTCATGTAAATTGAACAACACTGAATGTAATGTTTCTATGTGTCCAAATTCTATAGTTCGGATCTGGAATGTTCCTCAAAGTCCCAAGTATTAAAGGCTTGGTTCTCAATTTGGCACTATCGGAAAGCAGTGAAAATTTTTTAAGAGGAGGGTTACAGTAGGGGTAATTTAGGTCCCTGGAGGCATACTCTCAAATGGGAGTGTGGAGTGCTGGTCTCTTCTCTTTTTTTCCTGGCCACAAAGTGAATGGGATTCCACTACCCTGGGTTCCCACCACGGTTTACTGCCTTGCCACAAGCACAAAAAGAACCAGTCAAGAACTGGTTCCAAAAAGAGAAGAAGAAGAAGAAAAAAAAAAGAGCTAGTCCAACTGATAACGTGCTGAGACCTCCAAAACTGTAAGCCAGAACAAATGCATTCTTCTTTATAAGCTTATTATCTCAGGTATTTTGTTACAGTAAAGGAAAACTAATTCACATCCGAGGCGTTGAATGTATCAGGAGTTTTTTTCCTTTTTATTTCTGTGCAGAAATCAACTGAATAAATGTACTGCTTATGGATAGATATTTGGACCTTTTCCAAGTTTTGTCTGTTATATATGAATTTGTTAAAACATTCTTGTACAAGTCTTTCATTTCATACATTTTCATTTTTCTGGGGTAAATAATGAATTAGAATTGCTGGGTATCAAACAGGTGCATAATGTTAAAGAAACTGCCCAGCAGTTTTAAAAAGTGGTTGTACTGTATTATACTCGAGGGCATGAGAGTTGCAATTGCTCCACATGTTCATTGATATTTAACATTGCCATTTTCAAAATTTTAACTATTCTTGTATATGTGAAATATCACAATGTTGTACCAATTATATTTTTCTGATGACTAATAATGTTGGCCATCCTTTCATGTGCTTATTGATTGGTTTTTGTAGCTTCCTCTTTGACATCACCATTAAAATCTTTTGCTCATTCTTTTAAAACATTTGATTGTCTGTTTTTCTTAATTTTCCTCTGTAGGAGTATATATTTTATGGATGCAAGCCTTTTGTCAAGTAAATGTATTATGAATATTTTCTTATAGTTTGTGGTTTGTCTTTTCATGTTAACACTTTTTGATGGGTGGAAATTTTAAATTTTAATGAAGTTCAGTAGATCAGGTTTTAATTTTATGGCCAGTGTAGAGCCATTTCTGGCCTATTTCATTTTATTGATTGGTTTATCTACCTTTATATACTAATTTTCAACCCTCTTTATTCAGATTCTGTTTTTATTATTTGTTTAGAGACAGGGAACTAAGACTGATGAAGCTGTTCAAGGGAGTCATCAAGACCCAGGCTCCTTCTAAGTCTCTGTTCCACAACCTCTAGAATGTGAATTTTGTTTTCTGGGTAACAAAATGCCTGATTCATCTTTGATGTCACATTAACCTAGTAGGAGGAAGAGAACAGGCTGATGATCTGGTAGAGTCTGCCTTCTTTTATCAAAAGAAAATGAAAGACACAAAATCAAAATCACCACCTCCTAGCAGCCTCAACCAGAATTTCACTTACCAGAATATTATGACCAGAAATAATCATATGGCCATTCCCTAGTTGAATATTTACTGGGGATTAATATTTTCAAGGTGGCACTTTCCAGAGGACTGCCAAGAACTAATGGCTTTAATGAATCTATTGCTGGGAAAAAGAAATGGATTTTATCTGTTAAGTTGGGCAAATCAAAAGCAACTGCAGCAGCTACAACTGGATCCATCTCACTAAACCTGTCTATGCTACAAAATAGGGCTGGAGTAGACCTGTTCCATACCCTACCCTATTGTCCAGATATATTCTTAGGATAGAAGCAAAGAATAAAGATAGAAATAACAATAATGTATTTTACAGTTTTTTACTTCTGTTAATTCTAGATCAGTGCTTTTCAACTTCAATAGTGGATCTGAAGTAAGGTAAAAGTTTTATCAGTGGAAGGTGCATAATATCCACTCACAATGCTACCCCACCCCTGTGGACCTTCTTTTAAAGTGAGGTTTGCTTTTGGAGATGGAGTTAATAAAAACCTTAAGAGAACTCATATATAGGCAGAGAGATTATATAGTGCTTGTATTTTGTTTCAAAATTCAGTCATCTGGTTTTTTGTGTTGTGCTATGGCCAATGTGAAGAGAAGTGACTCTGATAAGGGCATTGTTGTTACTGATTTTGTGTGTTTTCCATGGTTCTATCATTTTTTTTTTTTTGAGACAGGGTCTCACTATGTAGTTGAGACTAACCGGGAACTCACTATGTAGCCCAAGATGGTCTCAAACTCACAGTAATCCTCCTGTATCAGCCTTCCAAGTGCTGGGATTACAGGCATGTGCCACCATGCCCGGCGGTTCTGTTATTTTTTGACAGTTACATAAGGTGTGTGTGTGTGTGTAAAATTGGCAAGAATATCCCTCTTCTTTCCACTCTTTCAGGATACAACATTAGTAAATCAAAACACCTAACTATCTGTGACATGTACTACACTTCACTATGCTGGCCTTTTTGTGGGATGGTTGGAAAGTAACAGGACTTCATTATGGCCCTTACCTTTAGGTGTCACCTCTGTGTGCAGCATCAGGACCCAAGCTGACCTGCAATAGGGGTGCTGGGCCAAGCAGATAAAACCTGTATCCAAGAGACACTAAAAGCTATTCATTGTTGGTTCAAAATTAAAATTTAATTGAATGCCCCATATTTTACAGGCCAACCCTATTTGCAATATAAACATCAATCTCTTACTTAAGACTATTAAACATATTTGCAAATTTTGAATCTCTGAACAATAATTATTTCCTTAAAATCATAAATTAATATCTTAGAAACTCAAATCCAGACAAAGCATGATTGCAGATGCTTGGCTCCTACACATGTTTGTGAGCACAGAACACAATTCAAAATCTGCCTTTTTATTTGCTTAACACCAGGGGAAAGGACTTTTGAAAGGTGACTTACATGAGTCTTATGTTGTCTCCAAGCAGGCCCGTGTTCCCAGCATGGATATTGCATCACTTCTGACTTCTAGAATTTGTCAGTACATTTATACTACCTGCTGTATAGTCATTTGTTTCATCTTTGTGATATTCATCCTTGCTCTTAGATGTTGAACTGGGTGACAGTGACTAGGAAAGAGCACACCTGGCTCAGCCAAGACAATTTTCATTTCAGTGAGATAAATTGAAACACACATGCCTTCTATCAGAGGGAGATTTGAAGATCATAAAGAATCAGTTTGAGCTGGTATCACCCATGTGGGCTATTGTATTAGTTTCCTAGAGTTGTCGTAACAAAGCAGTACACACTGGGAGGATGTATCCACAGAAGTTTATTCTTTTGAAATTCTGGAGGCCAGAAGCCTGGCCAAGGGTCAGCAGGGCTATTCTCTTTGAAGGTTTTGGGGAGATTCTGCTCCATGTTTGTTTCCTAGCTTCTGTTGTTGCCAGCAATCCTTGGCTTACAGACATATTACTGTAGTCTCTGCTTCCATCATCATATGGCATTTTTCCAGGGTGTCTGCCTCTGTGTTTCCTTTTATATGAATATTAATGGTATTGGACTGAGGCCCACCCTTTTCCAGTATGACCTCATATTAACTAATCAGATCTGCAATGACTCTGTTTGCAAATAATGCACACTCTGAGGTCCAGGGCTAGAACTTGAATGTATTTTGGGGCTACACTTGAACTGGTAGCAGCCCCTAGTATATGCTTGGGGTTTGTAAGACGAACCAGATCAAGATGCCAAGATTATTACATTCTGAAGACCAGGAATAAAAAGCATTGTTAACAGTAAAAACATTCTTCCTTCATTTCCCACTAGCCTGGTTTGTCTCTTGATAACAATTGAGGATGTCTGCTGTGATTCTCACCTGGGGAGTCTGGACATGCAAAAAGTTCCTACCACCTCCATGACACTTGCCCTGGAGCTCAGATCCAGGTGGAAAGAAAGAGACCAATGGAGACATAGAGCTACAGGCAGGGATTATTCTGAAGGCATTTGGGTCCTGTTTCTGGTTGTGTCTAAGGCCTACTTCCCTTCAGCTATGGATGTGTGAGCCCACAAAATTTCCTTTTTGCCTTCCATTTTTCTCCAATTCTGAGTTGGCAAAGGTTGGGCAGAGGGGAGTCACCATGTGCTTTTGGATAGATCCTGAAAAAATAGATTTCTCAAGACATCAGAAGGAACTTTTTTGGGGATGGGGTGTGAGGTACTAGTGATGATGGAGGGGCACTCATTTCCTAAGAAGGGGAAGGGGCTAGGGCTCTGGGCCCAGACTTGAAGGAGAAAACTGTGAAGATAGGCCAAGTGGAGTGACACCAACATTGGGAAAGAGGAAGTGTCTACATAGGGTACTGTCCCACAGATCTGAGCCTATACCACTTCCTTCTGCATAGTACAAGGAAATGAGTCAGTTAAGTAACTTCCAACTTGTGTTTCTTGGGTTTATCTGACCCTACCCCACAGGCAGAAAACCAGAGGCACCCCTATTTTGACCTGGATGTGTTTGGTCTGGACAAGGCTGGTGAGGCAAGAGACCCTCGGAAAGGGACAGACATTGCTTCCTGTCATCTGGGCACATGCAGGTGAAGGTGTCAACTATGGTAAAGACCAAGCTGGAGGACCACTAGCACCAGTGGGTGTAGCTCTGTAGTTCCTGATTGTTTCACCCTCACTCCCATTCCAGAGCTCTGGAAGGGAGAAGCTCTGATCCAACAGCATGGTCTTACAAGAGCTGTGGAGAGCTTATCTTACTACGAGCCATGGCATTGTAGGCTCTGGGAGGTCAAAGAAAGAAAGACACATTTGACTATAATTGTTCTTGGCATACACTGCAGAAGCTCAAACATGAACTGGCCATGTCTTTAACACTGCATAGTACTGAGGAGAGATTAGCCATCAGTGCTGGGGTGTGTGCATCTTTGTGTGAAGGTATATGTTGGATGTTGTGTGGGTGTGAATGTGTTGTATGTGTGTTGAGTGTGTGTTGGAGATGTGGTGTGTGTTGGAGGTATGTTGGGTGTCTTTGTGTGTTTGGTGTGTATTTCAGTGTGTACTTGTTCTTTTATGGTTCCTACAATGATGATCTGATCCTTGAGGTCTTCTGCAGTTGTTCTAAGAGCTGAGGCTCCCAGAGCAGCCTTGGGAAGCTGGAGTAGTTGCAACTACTAGCTGCAATCCACTTGTAACTCCACCGAAGCCAGAATCAAATTTATTCCAAAACTTTGCTCCATCAGTTAAGGGACTCTTGTGCCATGAATTAAATAACTGTGCTGTCCCTGAAATATACCCTATGAAGGTAACTCTCAGCTCTGGCTGTTCAAAGCACACAGGTTGAATAAGCATAAGGGGAAGTGATGAATGTGCTAACCTTCAGGTAGAAGTTCTGAGCTGGAGGGTCATAGAAAGCTTAGAACATCTCTCTGTGCCTTAGGAGGAAGAAACCAGGTGATACTTTCTGCTCTGTCCTGAGAAAGACACATGGACAGGGAAGAATTCTCTGTCCCTCCTCATATAGGGGCATTTCCAAGTCCAAGGGTGAAGGGATGGGGACCAGGAGGAATAAGGGGAGCCTAGTGGTATTCATTGGTTGAGGGGCACAATCCCATCATGGCTCAGGGTAAATGATCCATTTTTGGAGAGCTTGTTCATTTTTTTTGCACTCCCCTTGCCTTCCCCTGTTACCTGCTCAAGCCAGAAAGCACACCAGCAAGAGAGCTTGGTGTGAGGATCCTGCCAGGCTTCTGGCTATTGGCTGCTGTGAACTCAAGGAACATTCTCAGGAACCTGCTATGATTTCCAGCCTGCTGGTAGCTCTCACGGATGCTCATAAAGAGAGGAGAAGATCCTGGACTTGAGAAACATTGGTAAGTAGTTCTGGCACGGCTTTATACCCTGGGCACTTGGTGGAATGTCTCTATTTAGGTTACGGTTTCTGGTTCCCTTTAGGAAACTCAGGAAGGGCTAAAGTGCCCATTTGATTTGGTGGGCAGCCCTGTTCCTGGCACCTGTCTTATGATTCACTGAAGTGTTGTGCTGCACTCTCCTTTTGAGCTGTTAAAGTTGTGAGGGAATGTCCCTTGTCTGGGAAGGGAGCACCCCCATATCAGACATTTCTTGATGGTCCTGGTGCATCATAACATGCAGGTGGCCTGTCCTCTTCCTCGGGTTTCCATCTCACTCTTTCTCTGGGTTGATATATAGGTTTGGACCAGTTGCCTAAACTCCCCAGACAGCTGTAAAACAAGTAGGGTTCTCTGGCTACACAATTTGCCAGATCAAATGTTGATTACCAAGTTTTAACTTGCTGTGTGAATGGCCAAGTTACAGGGGTTTTCTGAGTTTCAATTTCATTATCCATAAAAAGGGCCATAAGAATAGTACCTATATTATGGGGGTTTTGTTCATATTAGATGAAACACAGGCTGCAAAGCACTGGATACAGTGCTTGGCATATTTACTGTGCTTGACATATTAGTTCTGTTACTATCCCAATGGACACTCTGATTCTGTGAATATAACTCTGTCACATTGTACTGGCCAAAGGTAGTGGGTGTGTTCAGTACCCTTGGCTTTGGGTCAAGATCTCCACTTGCTTATCCCCCTGCCTGGATGCCTCCCTATCAGGACCGTGCAGGGGAAAGTGATAGAAAACTGAGGCCGACAGGTGGGACAGGAGGCAGGAGTATCATTTACAATTTGAGAAGTGGCATAGGTTGCCAGCTGCTGATCAGCTCTAGTGGTTCCTCCTGTGAAAGCCCCCCTTTTGCTGGGAAAGCTCTTCAATTAGAATGAGTTCAGATGCTTATGATGTTTGGAAAAACCTTCCATAGAATTTCCTTCTGTAACACACCAACAATCCCTTAGGTTATTAGGTTTTTTTCCAGGAATTTATGTTTAGGCTAGTGGCTTTTTGAACTCCAGGGTGATCCATTCCCAGCCACCAAATCCAGCATTTAAAATGAAGAGTATATATTTATAGTAAAAGAGAAGTGTCATTACCCGATGGCCTGATAAAACATCACTACAGTTCTGAACGTGGGGCAACTTGTGTGTACTTGTGCCATCAAGGCTGGGCTCTGCCTCAGAGCTGAGCCGCTTTCAAGGGGTTTGAGTAATGGGGCATGGTGGAATGGTGACAGTGGTCATCGTGTGGTAAGGAGGAGATCCGCCACCAAGGTCGGGGAACTCTTCTTGGAGATGCCTGTTTCTTGTCAGTCCTACTGGAGCTGGGCTTGTTTTTCTTTATTTCCCAACCTTCTTCATTCCTTCTTCCTTAGGCAACATTGAGCCTATCAACTTGGTGTTGGGTCTTCCCCACCCCCCTGGTGCCAGGGATAGAGGCAGGGGCCTTGCCACTGAGCTAAATCCCAGGCCCTGGTATGGGTTTTTAATCAAGAGCACTTCTTCACTTTGTTTTTGTTTTTGTTTTTGAGAGGCTCTCACTATGTAGTTCAGGCTGGCTTTGAACTGAATATACAGCTGGCCTTGAACTCTGGGTGATCCTCCTGCCTCAGCCTCCTGAGTGCTAGGATTACAGGCATGTGTCACCACGACCAGCCAAGTATTTTTTCACCCTGGCCTATGGGCCAGCTACAGTAACTGCCCCTCCCCTTCCCACTTCTCCCTCAACCAGGCCTGGGTTTACTATACCTGCAAGTACCTGCAGCCACCAAGGAATACCTGGCCCTGTATTACTGATGCTGTCTTTTCTCTAGGTCACAGCTAAGGCCCGGGTATCCATAAGTAGATATTTTCTCTCTTTCTCTCTCAATTGAAATTGAACCCAGGATCTTTGCTCTGAGCTACATCCCTAGTGCTTTTAAAAAAATTTAAAATTTGAGACAGAATTTGTCTTCCCTTCACAGTGACAGTCCAAAAGTGTTTTGCTGAAAGTTAAAGGGAACACTGCATGAAGGGTCTTACTTTCTGACCCAACAAGCTCAGGACACACTAAAAGCTGTTACGCACATTGCCATGCTCTCTCTCTCTCTCTCTCTCTCTCTCTCTCTCTCTCTCTCTCTCTCTCATACTAGGGATCAAACTCAGGACCTTATGCTGCAAGACAGGCACGGCACCACTGAACTAAAATCTGGCCCCTTGCCACAATCTCTTACAGGGAGAAAAATAATGAAAACAGCCAAGGGAAGAAGCACAGAGGTCAGAGACCAGGACATTGTTGCTGGGCATGCAGGCTTCTGTGTCTTCTCCCTGTGGATTTGTGGGGCCCTGGCAGCACTGCTTTCCTGACATGCAGGGAGAACAAATACTTCTGTATTTAAGATGGGGTTATGTCCTGATACATCCATCGTCAGCTGAAAATACATTTCATCCTCCTGACCCGCTGAACATCTTCACTTAGCCGCACAATATACCGTAGAATGTTGGTCGCCTCCCCCCACACCCGTGATCATGGGCTGACTTAAAACTGTGATCGCTGCTGCCACCCAGCATCTCCAGAGAGGACTGGATGTAAAGTGCTCAGGCGGTATATGGTACACATAGAAAACATTCAATAAATGCTTGTAACTACTGTAATTATTATGACAACTTGCTAGATTAAGATTTTGGCTTTACCACATGCTCACTGTATGACCTTTCTCAGTCTTAGTATCCTCACCTGTAAAATAGGAGCAACAATGCCTCTTCGTGAGGTTGTTATAAAGATTAAATTTGTGTTCTGTTGCTTGCATTTAGTTGCCTTGAATAAACGTTCTCATGCCTTATTCTCATTTCTCTTATTCCCTTGCTTATTATCTACTGCAAGTATAGACTTGAGAGAACCAAGCTTGTTACAATTCTTTATAAAATCACTAGTCTGTTTAAGAATTTTTAAAAGTCGAACGCAGATTAGTGAATATTCTCTGTTAAATCTATTTTGATTGCTTGGGGTCATCTTTGGCTGTGACATAATTCACTGCTTGTCCTAGATAAGTGGGATTGTGGACAAGTTCCAGGTAAGTGAGGTCGCTGATAGCGATGTTCTGCCGATGAACTTGTTCAGTTCTAATTAGTGAGCATGACTGAAATACAGCCTGAGAGCAATAGGGATGTGGGTCAAAGGTGTTGTTTTCCTTCTCTCAAGGATGCTTTTAATATATGAGCTTGCTTTTGGAGAATGTGATTGGTATGCTTTTTCATTTTACAGTAGTATACACTACTGGATGCTGTGTATTTCTTAACCCCCATGGCTACCTAAAAAGATCTCTAAGTGGTTTTCAATAAGCATCATATACAATGTACATTGTATTATCTCTCAGAATATGTGAAAACATCTGTTTTTCTTCTAATGCAATAAACATATAAGGGTCTCTTGGGATAGCTTTTAAATAGACTTTAATACAACATTCAGAAATGATAAGCAAAATATAATCACAAGCACAAGGGAATGTGAGCATTTCATATTAATAATATTGGAACCTTATGTTTAATGCAGTGTTAAAAGTTGACAATTAAACATGTAGGAGTCAGGAAATTCAATTAAAATGATCACACTAATATGAATTTAGCCACATCCTGTATTAGTTATGAAACCCATTTAACACCGCAAACAATAATGTCTTCAGCTAGTTTATGCAAAAGGAAAACAGGAACAAAACACTTTAATAATATGTTAATGTGGTGAGGATAATTTTGCTGGAGGAAGAGGCTTAACTTTTGAACATTTGAGTATGTAGTCATTTAATCTGAGTATTCTATCTCCTTGCATGTTGCATAAGTTGTCAATAACAGAAAGAACAACAAACAAGGGAGCTTTTCTCTCCTGCCTACTCATCCCTATGAAAATGTGTTGTCTGCATCCTCAGGGCTTGTGTTGTGTTCATGAAACACAACCAGCTTTTCCTAATTTTTCTCCTTAGTTTTCTGTGCTTAGTTTTCTGGGTGTGGTTGTAGGGATTGTAATTCACTCCAAAGATAAGATATAACTGCTGATCCCCTATCCAGAGCCCCCCCACCAACATGGCCATGCACTTGAGGGAAATGGAGCCTGCTATTCCAGTTATCCAGTCATTCATAGCTCAGGGCTCATGGACTTTTCATTGTTTCCAACTCAGGCATCTTCTTTCTTTTAGGTGAACATACATTACACGCCAGGTTGGGTGGTGCAGGCCTATAACCTGTAGTCCCAGAAGTCCGGGAGGTTGAGGATAGGCTGGGAAACTTGGAAAGATCTGGTCTCAGAAAAGAAAAGAAAAGGAAAAGGCTGGGGCTGTAGTTCAGGGAGAAAGCCCTGAATTTAATCCCAGGTACTAAAAAGCCAGCAATCAAAATACAACAAAACCAATAAATAACCAATTCAACAAAGTACTGAGAACTTCAGTTCTGCTTTAAAACTTCCTGACCAAATACTGTAAGAATGATGCTAATAAAAGGATTTTGCAAGGGACTTCCTATTGAATAGCACCTGTGTCTGCCTAGTTGTTTAAATCAGAAATCTAAGAATCATTCTTGATTCCTCTCTTATTCTACAACTCTCACTAAGTCTTGTAGCAACTACTTAAACAGCCCTCAAATCTACACACTTCTAACTAATGACATTTCTACCACATGAGACTAATGAGCATCTTTTCTCTGTGGACCTGTAGATCTGATTACTTGCTGCTTCCCTGTCTCCATGCTGATCCATCCAATGTGTGCTCTGTCTACAGCTAGACTGATGCTGTAAGATACAAAGTCCCTTGTGAGTCTCCTCCTCTTACAGTCTTCAAGTGGCTGTCTTTGTCCCCAGGATGATTCTGATACTCTTTAATGGGCCTGGCTAGGCCCTTTGTGATGTTGTTCTTCAATCCCCTTCCTTACCACATTTTCAATCTGGTTTCCAGCTAACTGGAAATTTTTTTCAATTCCTCAACTACATCATGACTTTTGTTTGTTCAAGATCTTTGAATATATCATTTCCTCTTTTTTCATGTCTTTGCCAAGGTATCATCTCTTCTGTAAAAGACATTGAGATTGTCTAATCAATATCAATATACATATTGAAGATATACTCCTAAGTGAAATAAATAAGTCACACATGTGTAAATACCAAATAGTTTCTCTGGTGTGAATAATATGCAATAATACATAAGATCTGAATAAGATTACTGACATTTCGAAAAGGGAAGAAAGGAGCTAAAGGTGTAGGGAAGGTGGGATAAGTAGGGGAAGGGTAATAAGGGAAAAGAAAAAAATGTGAGATAATGAAAAGATGGAAATAAAGTATTTGTAGATGGGGAGGGGAGGAGGGGGTGAAGGGAGGGCAGGGGTAAGGGGAAAAAATGAGAATCAAGACTTGTCATGTGGAGGTACAAGATCCCAACAATGAATGTAACTGTACTGTATCCCTAAAATGTACCAATAAACTCAATTAAAGCTGAAAAAAAATATCCATTTCCCCTTCATTCCAAACACTACTTGAGGCAATAACACAAATGGGTGAAAGGCTACAGTCCTAGAAAAAAGATTAAGAGTGGCCATGCAACCTTGTTCTGACCAATGAGCTAGGAATAAAAGTTCAGAGATGGATTACCAGGGAAACTCTTTCAAGGGATAATTCCTTTTAAATTATTCTTTCTCCTTACCTCCTAAAATGCAGAACAGGTAACAGACACTCTAGAACCATATCAGACACACCGATGGTGTTAAGATAGGAGCCTGACTTTATGATACAATAAAAAGGGAAGGCATGTAGGCCCTTAGTGACCTTGGAATTGTCACCCAACCCCGGCTTGCCTACCATTGGAATTTCTTTACGTGACAGAAAAATGAATTCCTTTCTTTTAAGCTATTAAATGTCTGTTACAGTTTAGATCTAAAATATTCCCTCAAAATCTCATATTTAGAGGATCTAAAATGTTTCTCAAAAGTGTCATGTGTTCAGAGCTGGGGCATTTGAAGATGACTGGATTATGGGGGCATAGCTTAATGTGCTGTTAGGATATGGGGCCTGGTTGGATGTGAGTCACTGGGAGTATTCTCAATATGGAAGGGTGTATGCTTGTCCTTGACTCCGTCCTTCTCTCAGCTTTCTGGCTGTCATGAAGTGAGCTATTTTCCTTTGCTGTGCCCTTCTACCATGTGATTTCTGGATCAAAGTCAGCTAACATGGACTGAACTCTCTAAAAACATGAGCCAAAATAAACTTTTCCTCTTTTAAGCTGTGAGTGTCTAGAATTTTATTCCAGTGAGAGGAAAGTAACTAATACAATGTCTAAATATTTAAACTATTACTAGTTTTTTACTGTATGCAAATGAACTTAAGCCTAACCAATATTTTTTTCTGAGCATGAAAATAATTTTTTTCATTAGACATCTGATTTATTCAAGAGTAGGCCTACTAAACACAGCTATAGAGTAGGAAAAAAAAGTTCCATCCAGCACCTACATCATTTCAATTTTCTGGGGACAGTTTATGCATTCTGTATTACATCCTCACCCTAAAATATCCACATGTGCTTGATATGGATTAGCTTTTTAACAAAAGAACATGAAAAACCTTGTGTACACCCAAGTTGGCAAGTATCATTAGTGATAAGACTTTCAGAAACATTCTTAAGCACAGTAGCACTGTTGCCAGTGACAGTCTTTGATAATCAAAGAAAAGACTACCATTAAATATAATCTTACAAATAGAAAGGAAAAATAAATGAACCTTTACCAGTGGATTGATTTATGTATTGGGGATAATGTTACAATGAGATTTTCCTTCTATGAGATTAAAAATTACCTTTAACTGATATCAACTTTTAATGGATATCTACATATTAAAAATCAGACAGAAATAAAATCAATTTAACCTAAGTGCAATTTAAGGAAGAAATGCAGGACGAGTCATATGAAAAAATAGCTGCCCCCCCCCACTTCGGCTAACTCAGCAAAAAAAAAAAAGCCAACTAAATATTTTCAGGAAATTTTATTTAAAAAAATTTTATTAAAAAGCATCAGCAGATCAACATTACATTTCGAGAATCTAATCTAAGTATGCACTTGACAATGAAGTACATCTGAGTATGTAATGAAAAAGGTTTTCCAAATACTATCAAATATATTATCTCCAAATAGCCAAATAACAAAATGCTTCTGTAAGTTAAGTGGAATCATAAAGAACTGAAAATTTATTGCTAGGAAAACAGATCTGTAATTTAGTAGTATGAATTTTGAGTAAAAAGCATAATCTGTTGAATCAAGTTAAGAAGTTGATGTGGCAAAAAATGTGTGTGTGTGTGTGTGTGTGAGTGTGTGCACATTAGGAAACAAAGGGAGAGATAGACTATAAGGCAGTTGACCCAAGAGCCACTGAAATATCTAATTTGTTCAGTTGAGAACAGACATCAACATGTTAATTCTCCATTTTAGAAGGCAATTAAAAAATTACAATTCCAATAGCCCACAAACCAAATAAAAATGTTGCAGAAATTAAAACTATGTTCAAAGAGCTTTTTTCCCCAACTCATTTTCAACACCCCAAGAAAAATAAAAGCATCCATGACTATCACAGATGAAAACAAAATGAGTGTTAATGGAATCAGTTATTTTTCCTCACTGAGGTATAAAATTTTAGAGATTTCTTATAGAAATTTGATACTATAACAAATTGTACTTCTCAGACTTCTGTTGCAATTTTCTTTAAACTCTGTTTAATATAGTTTAATAAACATTTTTGTAAAAATGTTGTTATCACAATTGTGAATCTGGTTCCAGTGCTTTTTCACCTAT